AGTTTCTTTGTAGATCCTTTTGTGTCTTCTAGGTATAGGATCATATCATCCGCAAATAGTGATAATTTAAGTTCTTCTTTTCCTATCTTAATGCCTTTAATTTCTTTTGTCTGTCTAATAAGCACTTTACCAGCTCTTTTCTATTTTGAGATGGGGACTTGCTAAATTGCTAGGCCAGCCTTGAAGTTATTAGTCTCTTGTTTCAGCCACACATGTAGCTGGAAATACAGATATATGCCACCATACCTGACTTCTTATAGACAACTTAAGTGAAGCACATATAATACTAAATTTATCATATTTCACCCACTTCTCACCCCCCTCCCCACTACTGGAGTTTGAACCCAGTGACTCTGTACTACTAAGGTACATTCCCAACCCTTTTTTATTTTTCTTTTAATTTTTATTTATTTATTTATTTTTAAAGAGAGAGAGAGAATTTTTTAATATTTCTTTTTTAGTTATTGGCAAACCCATCGTCTTTGTTGGTATGTGGTGCTGAGGATCGAACCTGGGCCGTGGGCATGCCAGGCGAGTGCGCTACTGCTTGAGCCACACCCCCAGCCCCCCTTTTTTTATTTTTTGAGACAGGGTCTTGCCAATTTGCCCAAGTTGGCTTCAAACTTGTGATCCTCCTGCCTCAGCCTCCTGAGGCACTTGAGATTAAAGGTATATGCCACTGTGTCCTGCCTCTTCTCACTTTTGAAGCATTTCCTACCTTCTGTATCTTTGGTTAGTGGGTTCAGCATTTTCCAAGCTAAAAATCTGGATATTCTCCTTAGTTCTTTCCTCCTCTCATATGCTATCTGATATGATCTGTTCCCTCTGTTTTAGAAGCATCTCCTGAATCTGGCGCTCTTTCTCTACTGAAATTGCTACAAACTTGGTTCTCTTTCAGACCATTGTGCCATTCCGACTATTTCATGGCCTCTGATGAAGCCTGTCTCTTTTTTCTCAGGTCCATCCTGCACATTGTCTTATGAATGTGCGCTGCTTACCTCAGATTCCTCAGCCGGCCCTTTATGATCAAAGAGCTGAAGTTGGACAACTATATCCATATCA